GTACATTTGGGTTTGCGGTGCAACTCCTTATCACTCACTAAGCCATCAGACCTGTTAGACACCTTCCAATGGGCTGCAACTCTATGAAAACAGAGCGAATCCTGCCTGACCTTGTTTTAGTCATTATGCCAATCCATCTCATTGAAGGTCTTCTCTTTTTCACGAACCCTAAACTTTTCCAAGCACTGATATCTTCACCAGCCCTTGCTATCTCCAGAAAACATGTCCAAAGTATGTGAGGAAAAAATTTCACCATCTCTTATTCTAAGGAGCATTCTGGCTGCATTTCTTTCAAGACAGATTTGTTGTTTTTTTTCTTTTGGCAGTCCATGGTATATTCAGTATTCTTTGCCAATATCACAATTCAAAGACAGTAATTATTTTTCAGTCCTCCTTATTCATTATCCAACTTTCATATGTATATGCGACAATGAAAATATCATGGCTTGGGTCAAGTATACCTTAGTCTTTAAACTGGCATCCTTGCTCTTTGGCACTTTAAAGAAGTTCTTGGCCAAAGATTTGCTTTTCACTATATTATTTTATTTCTTCACTGCTGCTTCCATGGGCATTGACTCTGACTCTAAGTAAAATTAAATCCTTGATAGCTTCAGTCTTTTCTCTATCATGGTGGTATTTATTGATCCATTTGAGAGAAGTTTGTTTCCTTTATGTTAAAGTATAATATACACTGAAGGCTACAGTTTTCTTATTTTTCAGTAAATTCTTCAAGTTTTCTTCAGTTTCAGCAAGCGAGGCTGAGTTGATGAATCTTCCCTCAATCCTGATGCCGTGTTCTTCTTTATATAGTCCAGTTACTCTAGTTATTTGCTTAGGATACATACTGAGCAGGTATGGTGAAAAGATACGGCCCTAATGTAGGTATTACACCCTGATTTTAAACCATGAAGGGTCCTCGTGTTCTGTCCAAACAACTGCTTCTTAGTTCATGTACAGATTTCACATAAGCATGGTTTAATGTTCTGAAATTCCTATTCTTCTCAGTTTTGTCTATAATTTATTATGATCCACACAGTCAAAGGCTTTTGCATGGTCAGTAAAACAGAGTAAACATCTTTCTGTTTTCAACCAAGATCTATCTCATGTCAGCAATGATATCCTTTGTTTCTTTTTTCTCAACAATGTAAGATTGGTCAATTAAGTATAAGGCATCCAATTGGTGACATTATAATTTAGCCACTAAAAATTATGCTGTATAAGAATAGCCAGTGAATACAGGAAAATTATCATAATATAAACATATGCAGGTAGACACATAGATTGAAACAACAGATACCCAATGCAAAAAAACACACATATATGTATAAACACATTGGATATATAGGTGCCTTTTTTGTTCATTTCTGTTTTCCCAAATCTTCGGAACTGTAAATATATTATTTTCTAAGTATAAACTACTAAGATAGTGCACGTGTAATGCTAGAATCATTCTGTACTGCCTCATAAGAGGTAACTGTTAGATCAGTAATATTACACATTGATTGTAGTGCTAAGTCTTTTGAAAATGGCTTTTATATCCATTGCCTTACCCCCCCATGTGGGCAGGATATCCAGGACTTCAACTGCAGACACATGTTTCACCCATTGATTAGCATCTTCTGCATCATCAATAGCTGTGAGGCCAACATACGAGAGAGAGAGAGCTGAGTAGACCGTAGACAGCTTGTGGTGAGGCATAGCCTGAGGGAACCATGGAGACAAAGCTGGAGTTAAAGGTTCTGCTGGCTGCATGTGGCTGAATGAAGAGCTGACATGTGACAGCTATGAGACAAAGTTTGCTAAATGATTGAGGAAACTAGAGGCTTCTTGCATTTGTGTTGCTAGACTGAACCTGAACCTTTACTTGTTGACTGACAAGGTGTCTGAACTAATTGAAGAATTGTATCTTCTTGTTGTTGTTGTTGTTGTTATCTGCCATCGAGTCATTTGCAACTCATAGCAACCCTATGTACAACAGTCCTAAACCCTGCTCTATCCTGTGCCAATCGCATTGCCTCTGACACACCCATACCAATTATCCCAGTCACTGAATCAATCCACCTCAATGAGGGTCTTCCCCTCCTGCGCTGTCCCTCTACCCTACCAAGCATGATGTTACTCTCCAAGGACCTGTCTCTCCTTACAACATGTCCAAAGTATGTCAGACGAAGCCCCAGAATCCTTGCCTCCAAGGAGTAGCCTGGTTTAACCCTCTCCAGGATGAATCTGTTTGTTTTCTTGGCAGTCCATGGTACATTCAATACTCTTCTCCAGCACCACAGCTCAAAGGCATCAATTCTTCTAACCTCCCTAGTCATTGTCCAACCCTCTGATGCATAACAAGTGATTGCAAAAACCATGGCCTGTATCAGGCGGACCTTAGTCTCCAGAGAGACCCTGTTGCTCTTTAGTATTTTGGAGAGATCCCTAACCACAGACTTCCCCATCGCAATGCATTTTTTGATTTCCTGGCTACTAGTGCCAAGAGTGTTGACCGTGGAGCCGAGCAAACTGAAGCTGTGAACAATCTCAATCTCTTCGCCATCCTTCCTGAGGCTGACAGTTGGTCCAGTGGTGAGAATTTTTGTCTTCTTGACATTGAACCTCAGTCCATATTGAAGGCTGCAGTCCTTGACCCTCTGCAGTAAGTGCATGAGGTCCTCCTCAGTTTCAGCGAGCAGGGTTGTGTCATCTGTATAACGCAGATTGTTGATAGATCTTCCACCAATCCTGATGCCACACTTCTCCTCATAGAGCCCAGCCTCTCGGATAATCTGCTCTGCATACATTTTGCAAAGGTGTGGAGATAGGATGCATCCCTGGCGTACACCCTTCCCAATTTTGAACCCTGCAGTGTTACCCTGCTCTGTTCTGACTACTGTCTCTTGGTCCAAGTATAGGTTTCGCATTAGCACAATTAAATGTTCTGGGATTCCCATTCTTCTGAGAGTCAGCCACAGTTTGTTATGATCCACACAGTCAAATGCCTTTGCATAATCTTGTTGTTACTTTTGCTTAATTAATCTTGTTGTTAATCAGGTTGTTAATCTGGGATTGCTGGACTAACCCTAGAGTTTCACTGTGATATATTTGCCTCTCCTGCTCCCAATCTATTTCTTTAATAAACCCCACAACTGCGAGTAAGGTAACATCTGTGAGTCAATTTGCAATGAACATAGAACTCAGTGTTTAGTAGAAGGAGGTGCAGGAATGGGAGGCGCCATGGCTGACCTTGCAATTATCGATACTGTGGCTGTCATTGATGGGGACAGTTCAGCGGTCCCTACATTTCCTTTTTCCTTATGTTGCAGTTGCTTCTTTTACACATAGATTATTAGCAGTCATCACTTTTTAATATTATTATTATTACTTTTATTACTATTATTATTATTATTATCATTATTATTATTAATGATCATGAGATTGTCAGGATGGCACAGGAGAACACAGCATTCACATCGATTGTTGCTTTGAGTCATCTTTGACTCCACAGCACCAAACAACAATAATTTAAGCTTATGAAGTTATTAGGAGAGTCTGATGAGGTTGTCCATTATGTGTTATACTGTTAACTCAGAGGCCGCACATTTGAAGCAGTTTGAATGCTGTCATTCTGTAGAATAAAACTGGGAAATCTCCAACTGCAGACTGCAACCTCAGAAACTGATGGAGGCTTATCATGTGTCAGAATCACCTCTAAGGTGGTGAGTTTGAGGGCTTTTATGAGGCTACTGCTGTCTGTTATGTATGTATGATGAAAATGCTTTATAATGGTGCTACTGTGTACCTTTTCCCAAGCCATGTTCAAGGATATCATACTGGAGGCTTGATATTAGCCTCAGTGGAAGTACTTATATACAGAAATTGGCAAACACTAAAATTGAGACCATTTTCCTTGTCTCAGAGAGCCCATTGTTAAATATTTACTAACACTGAATCAATTCTAAGATGTGCAACAATGAATGAATGGAAATCCAAATTCTCTATTAATTTTCATTAAAATCTCAATAAAAACCAGCAAAAAATAGATTTTTAAAAAATTAAAAAATTAGAATGTGGGCTTTTTTGAAGGGTGGAATTCTCCTATGTAATCATAACCAAATTATGTTGTTATTAGGAAACACTGAGTCAAAATAATGAAATGAGTTTGATTGTTTTGGGCTGTTTCATGGTTAAAAACATAGACTAATGTATAGTTATATAGATGGTGGTATATAATTTTCACACCGATTATTTACTTCAACTAAAGCCAACTCTTATGAAATTCTGGGGGCCTAATGGTAAGAAGTCAATTGGTAAGTGCTACCAATCCATAGAAACACAGTTCTAATCCACCAGCTGCTACACTTTAAAAGACAGAGGCAATCTCCTCTGGTGCAATTTAAAGCCTCTGAAAGCATGCCGGAGGGTCAGCTATGAGTTTGTCCCACTTGAAAGCACTTAAGAACAAAAACAAAGCCAAACCCTAGTTGAAGGTTTCTTTCTTTTTATAACCCGAGATGTCCCAACTGAGAGGGTCATGGGCTACAAAGCAAGTAAAGCAGTAACTATCTTATTTAAGTTTCAGACTTATAGATGAATCCACTTAGTTAACATATTTGAAAGTATTTTGAAAAACATGAAATATAACATTCTTCTGAAATTATTTATCACAATACAAGGACCAGGCAGAAAACAAAATGTAGTCAATAGTTTTAAAACGTTCATTAATTAAATGAACATAAGAAAAAATAGCATAAGGAAAAATTCACTTACCCTCCTCTAAAATATTGTTTTAATGAAAATACAAAACTCCAAAGTCCAAAGTTTCTCCTTTAATAATAGATATGATGTAATCAGTCCACCAATTGATCTTTCTGGATAAAATAATTAGTATATGTAATCTCTTCCCTGCATTAACTACCTCTGAAAACCCATTAGAGGGTCGACTATTGGTCAGTTCTGACTCGATGGCCCACAACAACAACAGAGTGTTCAAAATTTCACTTATTGCCAAGTACCTGAAACTACAGAAGAATCTGCAAAAGATAATTCTGAGGAATTATTCTCCATATCACAGCTCTCCTCGGAACTTGACTGACTGGTGGCAGAAATAAGTGGCTCTTCAGGTTTGGGCCCATCCTTTTGTGATAAATTCTCAGTATCTGTGAATAAAAATATTAGAATGTAAACATTAATGAAGCCCAAGTTTACACATAGTGTATGTGCACATATGTAGGCAAAGGGGCTTTGGTGGCCTAGTGGTAAAGAGCTGTGCTACCATCCCAAAGGTGGTTGTTGCTGTTAAGTGCCATCAAGTCATAGGTGATGCATAGTGACCCTATGAATGAAAGTCCTCAACACTCGTGTGTCTCTCATCCTCTCTCCAGGTTCACAGAGTTTCTGGAGGCAAGCTATTAACGGAAGTGGATGCCACTCCTGCTTCCAAGCTTGTTTTAATCAGGAAGCTCCACCAAACACTGTCAGCCATGGGTAACCATTATCACATTTGACACATCAGTGTCACAGTGTTCAGCCTGACAGCAACCACAAGTGACCGCCGTACAGCAAGTGGACACACCAGGGCTATACAACCTAGAAGACTGTTTGAACAAAAACAATGAAAAACAAGGCCTGAGGGCCACGGATTAAAAGTCACCCACCTAGGCCAACTGATCAGTCGTTGTGTTGATGTTACTGTAGTTAAGTGCTGTCACCCAAAAGTAGACAGTTTAAATTCAACCAGCTGCTCTGGGAAGAAAAATGGGAAATCTTCTCCGACGTGATTTACAGAGATTTCCTAGCTTTCACCCACGGAGAAGCTGATAAATTTGAACCGCATGCCTTTGGAATGGCAAAGAACCTATGAGAGGTTCATGTGGGGTGATATGGGGTCCCTTAGAGTAAAAAACGACTGTACAACTGCCTAACAACAAATGCAATTATTATTTTGAAGTTGAAATTCATTTTTTCAGTACTTTGACATTTTTAAAAGCTCAGAACATGTTTGTTGGGTTTGTTGTTTTTTTTTTATCTGACACTGTAATTTTCTTTTTAATGTGAACACAGTAATGACTTAGGATAGGATTTTCTCTAAAAAGACTGTATTGTACTAATCATAAGAAAAGTGAGATATTTCTCTCTCTAACCACTGTCTACTAGGGAACAATTAATTTATTCTGTAATATTAAGTTACATTTAAGGGGGAATTAAAGAGAATGGGAAGCTGACGGCTTTTCCCCTTAGCTTGTGTTCTTGCCATTTTGTTTCCTCACTGCGTGTTCTATACAAGATGTACATCTGCTTTAATGTCAGCCTAAATTCATGTATTCGGAATTCTTAGGGATTTTTTTTTAATTGAGTAAAATATTTTGTGTTTCTCCCTTCCCCTTCAGAAGTTCGAATGGTCTTGTGGTTAAGTAGCTGTGCTGTCAAACCAAAGTTGATTTTGATTCAACTGGGGGTTAATTATAGGGTCACATAATTTGATGGGTGGAGGGAGGGGTGGGTAAAGGAAATGAGAAGTATTAAGTGTGAATAACAATGTATAAGAACTTTGTAAATAAACCAGTATAAAATGAACATTTTCTTTAAAGTTGAAAACAAACAAACAGACAAAGAATATGAGTGAGTCCAGTTCCCTTTTCTGGACTATCTTCCTTCAACCAAAATGTGAATGTTTTATTGAGGCCTATGTGGGATTTGGCTGTCAAGGATCTCTCCAGAGTGCTGAAAAGCAATGATGTCAGTCTGGAGACTAAGGTACACCTGATCCAGGCCATAGCCTTCACAATTGTTTGCTATGTGTCAGAAAGCTGGACAATGACTTGGGATGATAGAAAGAGAATCGATGCTTTTGAAGTGTGTTGCTGGAGAAGAATGTTGAATAAATCATAGACTGCCAGGAGAAGAAACAGGTTTGTCCTAGAGAGGGTGTAGGCAGCCTGCTCCTTGGAGGCAAGGATTCTGAATCTTTGTCTGACATACTTTGGGCATGTTGCAAGGAGGGACCAAGAATGAAAGAGAAAAAGAGGAAGACCATTAATGAGATGGATTGGTACAGTTACTGGGGTAATGTGTGTGTCAGAGGGTAGGTGTGTCAGAGACAGTAAAGTTGTCAAAGGATAAAGCAGTCTTCAGGGCTGTTATACATAGGATGGCACATAACAACAAAAAGCAACACCTCATGGGATTCAATGGAAAACAAGCTTTTCTATCCTTTTTAAAGTAGTATCTATCAGAAAAGATTGGTTATATAAAGGACTTTTTCTAAAAGTGTCATTTGGGATTATCCCACCCTAAACAATAAGGTGAAAATGTGCTCAAGTTGTGTATGAAGAATTTCCCTTATTCACTGTTGGTGGTGGGAGTGCAAAATGGTGCAACCACTATGGAAGACAATATGGTGCTTTCTCAAAAAGTTGGAAATAAAAATATCATTTGACCCAGCAATTACACTACTGGGAATATACCCTAAAGAAACCGGAATTGCCACCCAAGCAGATATATGCACATCAATGTTTATTACTGCTTTGTTCACAACAGCAAAGAGTTGGAAACAACCCAATTGCCCATCAACAAATAAATGGATAAAGAAGCTGTGGTATATTCACACAATGTAATATTATGCAGCACTGAAAAACAAGGAACTCACTAAATATTATACAAAATAGATGACCATGGAGGACATTATGCTGAGTGAAATATCTCAGTCACAAAAAGACAAATACTGCATAATGTCACTGATATAAAACAAGACTGACATGGGGGTAGGTGGGAAACTAAGAAAAGAGTAGATAAATAATGTGCATGGTACTGAAACAGATGAGGGAGAAAACCGTATAAATGGAATATATGATTAGGTATTATTGGCATGACAAGAATCCAGAATAAGGGATGCATAGTAAAGTGGACTGGGGCAGGGGGTGGGTGCGGCGACACACTGTATAACAATGAAAAACTTTTTTTACAAAGAAAAAGCGAATTAGGGGTGAGGAGGGTCAGGGAGGAATATGTGCAACATAAATGAATGGAAATCCAAGTTCTCTATAAATTTTCATTAAAATCTTGATAAAAGAAAAAAAAGAAAGCTACCATGGCCTTGTGTAAGAAGCCAACATGACAATGTTTGACGGTATCTATTAAGTAACTATAGGATCTATAATTGTAACATTATAAACCAAATTTGTTTTGTATTTACAATAAGCACATAACATACTATTCTCAGTTTTAATTGCTGAGGTGATTCTAGACTGCTCCATTAGGTTTTCTTGGCAGTAATTTGAAAAGAGATTGTCAGGTTTTTGTTTTCTAAGTGGCCACCACATGGGTTCAAACTAGTAACCTTTCAATTAGCTGTTGAGTATAAACTATTGTCATTACTCAGGGACAATGACATACATTAAATGATTTAATCTTTTTTAAAAAAGCCCCGGTGCCACAAGGGCTGGGCCCATAGCAGTGTCCATGAAGGAAGATTTCTTTTCAAACATTTACCTGGCCAGGAACTCAAAGCTAATTCAAAACCAAATATTTCTCAATTTCTTACTAAATCTCAAGGAATTCAACCAATGCTGTAGTTAAGGTTCCGGGTGCTAATAAAAAAGTCAACAATTCAAAGTGACCAGCAACTTCATGGGACAAAGTGGCGTCCGACTGCTTCTGTCAAGATTATAGCCGGAAAACCTTATGGGGAAGTTCTACCTTGTCCTATATGGATGGTTACTATGAAGAGATTACACAACACACAGAAGTACTCGAATTAACCTTTATTTGTTTTTTTTAGGGACATCTCCTGGCCTAGTCCACAGACAGCTGTGCTGCCAACCTAAAGGCCATGTCTCTATGGCAGTTAAATTCCAACAGTTGCTGTCCTGAAGAAAGACGGGCACCATCTTTACATGGAGCCTCTGAAACTCCACTGGACAGTCAGCTATGAGTGGGTTCCGATCCAAAGACACAGAAAAACAATACAACAACATACAAGTGCAAACACTCGCATGCATATATATGCAGCAATAAAAGAACAACTCAATCCCATTGCCGCTGAGTACTTCTGGATGCAGTTTCAACTTCCTTTTCTTCCAAGGGGTCTACGGGTAGATTCAAACTGCCAACCTTAGGTCTGTAAATAATTGCAAACTGTTTGCACTATGTAGGCTTTTTTTATAGTAATATAGCTGTATTTCAAGCTTCTGGACCCAAGGAAAAACACTTTATAAAATAAAATGGCCTAACAAAGTCATCTACCTAATAAATTAGTAATTAATTCATTACTCTAATTAATACATTACCATTTTTAATGAATCTCAGTAGCAGTTTGCTTGAAGATGCTTTTTCTTTTAAAATATATGTGTGTGTATGTGTGTGTGTGTTTGTGTATATATATATATATTTTTTTTTTTTTTCCACATTCTGTTAGATCACCTTTCTTGGGAATGAGAATATCTCTTCCAGTCAGTTGGCCAGGCAGCTGTCCTCCAAATAGCCTAGTGAAATGTCTAGAGGCATAGACTAGTGAGCATATCCAGAACTGTACCTGTCATTTGAAATATTTCAGTTGGTAGTCCATTGATTCCTAGGCCCATCATGCTTGGGAAGGTGGAAAGAAGAAGACCCTTGATGACTTGGGTTGATAATGTGACTGAGGCGATGAGTTTGATAGTGTTGGAGATTGTGAGGATGGTCTAGGATAGAACAGTATTCAGATCTGTTGTTCTTAGGGTTGTTATGAGTTGTATCCAACCTGATGTCACCTAACAATAATTAACTACTCAAGTTTCTTGTCCTTTATAGCACTTATTTATATTTTCAATTTGTATAATTTATTTAAAAAACATTTCCTGTTTATCTCATTCCATTGGAAAATATTGTCTATGGGAGCAGAACTTGTTTTTTGTTTTGTCTTTTTTTTTTTTTTATTGATGCTGTATGTCCATCTAGGACAGTTTCTGGTATCTAATACATATTAAATAAATGTTACTCGAGTGACCGAATGGAATATATAGAGTAACCTTCTGATCTGTAGAATTCATTTAAATAATTTATAACTGTAGTGGCTTAGTGAGTTGGGAGTTGTGATGCCAATCCCCAGGTGGGTAGTTTGAAGCCATCATTTCCTCTGCAAGAGAAAGATGGATAATCTTTTCCTGTGTGATTTACAGCCTCGAAAAACATACAGAAAGGTCAGGCATGAGTTTGTTCTAGCTCCAAAGTAGTAAATTTGAAGGTTTTTAAATCACCAACTAACTTAATTTGCCTTACATATGATATTTTCTAAAATACACAAACTACGAAACAAAAAACAAGATGGAAATTTTATATGAAATTTAGAAATAATCCAAATAGAGGATGGTTGTTGTTGTATACTGTAGAATCAGAACCAACACATAGCTGATCCTACATCAGGTTTTCAGAGAGTTAATCACACAAGAGGAGAGTGTCAATCCTTCTCCTGCGGAGCAGCTGGTGGCCTCAAACCACGTGCCTTTGGTATTGCTGTGCAGTTCCTTGCCACTAGGCCACGAGAACTCCATATACAGAGGATACTAATATAGAGGATTAGTACCATTAAAATGCTTTTTTAAAACTCATAAAAATACCAATGTTAACAATTACCGGGCTCTCATCAAATTTTTAATAGATGCCTTAAAAATTCACAGATGTGTAATAGAACTGTAGTCACTACTATGTATAAAAATGTTCAAAATATCTTGATTAAAGTTTCAGGTAATCAGTTTTCAGAATGTGTTAGTATAACAAATATAAACTAGGAATCAACACTGATATTCTAGCCTTACACCATGGGTAAGTTGGAAAAGTCCATTTTTTCTCAGGCATCAATCTCCTCATTGGTAAAGTTGTTTAAATAGAAGATATCACAAATCCACAGCTTTAAACATCCAAGTGTTCAGCACTGAGTCTATAGGCTTTTTAAACTTTCAAACACTATTCTGCAAACTCTGCCAATTCCACAAAATCTTCCTTAGTAAAATTATAAATACCTGCATTGCTTTCAGGCCAAGTGGTGCCTGTTAACTCTTGGACAAGGTTTTCATTTCCTGTTTGATTAAGAATCACCAGAAATGTGGAAAACCAGTTGTCTTTCTGTACAATCCTTTTCAGAAGCTCTCTTACGGCTGATTCATTTCCACGATTTTCTGCAGCAGAAATCTGTTTCAAGAGAAAAGCAGAATTAAAGAAGATGAAATATCATCTGAATAAATTTAAACAGGAACTACTCTTTAGAAAAACTGAGCAATTAGTGTAAGTATAAACAAAAGCTCCGATTAAAATACTAAAGGGAACAGCAATGGTACTTGTAGTCATTCTGGATTATATGGGGCTGGATTCTCTGAGCAAAGAACTCTTTAATGTGTATTATTTTCTACTTTTTTATTAATATGAGGGGCTATCAAAATTTTTTATTACTACAAGGGAATATTAAAATCTGACACAGAAAATGTTTATTATAGCTATTCTAAATAATGGGTGCAAAAAAATTTATATCTCTATGTCTATTTACACCAATTTCTATATATTAAAACAGAAATTAAACAAACCCAAAGAAATTGTTGATGAACTGAATGCAATACATACTAAGTTACATAGCAGAACTCTATTCCATAGAGTGTTCTAGGATGTCACTCTAATCACCAACCTTTCACTCAAGGCACTTCTGGATATATTCAATTAAAATAGTTTAGCATTTAGTCATCTGGGCCATCTAAGGGCAGAATTTCTGTGTGTCTTTATTTGTTGTTGTTAGGTGCCATCAATATGACCACAAGTCATAGCAACCCTACAAACAACAGATCTGAGTTTTGCCCTATACTGTGCCGTCTTCACTGTCTCTGATATGCTTAAGCACAAGGGTATAGTTGCTGTGCCAATCCATCTTGTTGAGGTCTTCCTCCCTTTATCTGACCCTCTACCTTTCCCAGGTTGATGTCTTTATCCTAGGACTGGTCCACGCCCAAGGATGTGAGGTAATTTCATCATCTTTACCTCTAAGAACTCTGATTTGTTGTTGTTATGTGTTGTCAAGTTGCCTGCAACTCACAGCAACCCTCTGAGCACAAAGGCTCTGAACCTTGCCCTATTCTGACCCAATCTTACTATCTCTGCCACACCTACCTAAATTACTCCAGTTACTGTGTCAGTTCATCTTATCTGGGGTCTTCCTCTTTTACATTGTCCCTCCACCATTCCAAGATTGTCCTCCTCCAAGGACTAGTCCCTCTTGGCAACACCAAAGTATGTGAGACAGAGCTTCAAAATCCTTGCCTCCAAGGAGCAACTTGGCTTCATCCTCTCCAGGACACACCTGTTAGTTCTCTTGGTAGTCCACGGAAGTTCAATACACTACTCCAGCACCATAACTCAAAGGCATCATCTCTTGTTATCTCTTGCTAAGTCAGCTCATTGATGAATAGCAAGTAAATGTGAAGACCATGGCCTAGATCTGACATACCTTAGTCTCTAGCCTGACATTTTTCTTCAGAACTCTGGAAAAGTCCCTGACAGCAGATTTTCCTAATGCAATTCGTCTTTTGATTTCCTGAATTCTAGCACCAAGAGTGTTGATTGTGGAGCTAAGCAAGCTGAAATTGTTAACAATTTCAATCTCTTCATCTATCATGGTGCTGCCAATTGGCCCAGTGGGGAGAATATTTATCTTCTTGGTATTGAATTTCAACCCACACTGAAGACAAGCTATTTTCTTTCATCTTCCTGTTGTTGCTGTTAGGTGCCACTGAGTTACTTTAGACTCACAGTGAGCCGATATACAATAAAATGAAATATTACTTGGTCCTGCAACATCCTCACAATTGTTGCTATCTTTGAACCCATTGTTGTAGTCACAAAATCAATCTATCTAGTTCAGTGTCCTCCTATTTCATTTACCTTCTACTTTACCAAGATGATGTCGTTCTCCAAACACTAGTCCCTTCAAATAACGTGTAAAAAGTATGTGACAGAAAATCTCATCATTCTTACTTTTAACAAACATTTTCACTTTATACTTTCCAATATAGATTTGTTTATTCTACTGGCAGAACATATATTCAATGTTATTCACAAACATCCTAACTGAAAAGTCCTCTTCTGTGTTGAACTTTAATATGCATTGGGCTGTAGTTGTTTTTATGTGTAACCAAGTCACCTGTGACTCATAATGACCCTATGTACAATAGCTCTGAAGACTGCCCTATCCTCAGCCAGTATTACTGACTCCAATACACCTACCCCCATTGCTCTAGTCACTCTATCAATACATCTCATCCAGGATCTCCCTCTTCTGCCCTGTCTCTCCACCCTTCTGAGCATGATGTTCTTCTCCAAGTACCAGTCTCCCTGGCCATGTGCCCAAAGTATGTGAGATGAAGCTTCAAAATCCTAGACTCTAAGGAGAGACTTGGTTTCACCCTCTCCAAGACAGACCAGACCTGTTTATTGTCTTGGCAGGGCAGTCCGTGGTATGTTCAAGAACATGGTATGTTCTCCAGCACCACAATGTAAAGGCATTTCTTCTTCTTCTGTAATCCTTAGTCATTGTCCAGCTCTCTGATGCTTAACAAGTAATTGAGAAGACCATGGCCTGAATTAGGCTCACCTTTGTCTCTAGAATGATATCGTTGTTTTTCAGCACTCTGGAAAGTTCCCTGACAGCAGTATGTCCCAATGCAATTTGTCTTCTGATTTCCTCACTGCTGGCATTAAGAGTGTTGATTGTGGAGTCAAGCAAGCTGTAATTGCTAACAGCTTCAATCTCCATCTATTATGGTGTTGCCAATTGGCCTAGTGATGAGACTCATTGTCTTCTGGATGCTGAGATTCAGTCCATATGGAAGACAGCAGTCTTTGCAGCAAGTGCTTCAGGTCCTCCTCAGTTTCAGCAAGTTAAAGTTGTGTCATCTGCATAACATACTTTGTTGATGAGTATTCCTCCAATCCTGATACTACATTCCTACTCATAAAGCCCAGACTCCAGAATGATCTATTCTGAATATAGATTGAAAAGGTATAGAGACAGGATACTTCCCTCATGCACTCCCTTCCTGATTTTGAACCATGCAGTGTATCCTTGCTCTGTTCTGAGGACTGCTTCCTGGTCCAAGTATAAGTGTTCTGGGATTCCCAGTCTCTTCAATGTTAACCAAAATTTGTTGTGATGTACACAATCAAATGCTGTTACATAGTCAATGAAACACAGATTGATAGCCCTCTCGTACTCTTTGTTTTCTGCCAACATGTATCTGATATTGACAATAATGTCTCTAGTGCAACGGCCTTTTCTAAACCCAGTTTGTATTTCTGGTAGTTCTCTGTCGATGTACCGTTCCAGACATTTCTGGATAATCTTCAGCAGGATTTTGCTTATGTGTGATATGAGTGACTCCATCGAGTCACCTTTTTTTGGAATAAATATGGATCTCTTCTAGTCAGTTGGCCAGGTAGTTTTCCTCCAGATTTTTTGGCATAATCTGGTGAGCATGTCCTGGTGAGTTGTTTGTTGAATACGTCAATTGGCATTCCATCAGTGCTTGGGGCTTTGTTTTTTGCCAAGTCTTTCAGGGCAGCCTGAGCTTCCTCCTTTATCACCATTGCCTCTTGATCATATGTTGTTTCTTGAAATTCTTCTGTGCCAGCCAATTCTTTTTGGTACAATGACTCTGTATACTCCTTCCATCTTCTTTTAATACTTCCCGGATCATTCCATTTTGTACCCATAGCATCCTTAAGTATTTCAACTTGAGTCTTGAATTTGTTCTTTAGTTTCTTCAGCTTAAGAAATGCCAAGCAAGTAAGGCCCTTTTGATTTTAGGACATCAGTTCTTTGCACATTTCATTATAATACATTGCTTTGGCTTCCCTTGCTGCCCTTTGAAATCTTCTATCCAGCTCTTTAACTTCTTGATTTCTTCCTTTTGCTTTGGCTTCTCGGGGCCCTAGTGCAATATTCAGAGTCTCCTCTGACATCCATTTAGGACTTTTCTTTTTCTTCTGTCTTTGTAACAACTTTTTATAAAATTCTTCCTAGATGACACTCTTGATACTCTCCCACAGCTCATCTGGTCTTCCTTCATTGGGATAACCTCAAGGTCAAATTTTTATTTCTGTGGATTTGATTTGACCTTTAGCTTTAAATCTCTGTAAGGGGTAATGTCTTTCACATACATAAGAGACAAATAAAAATATAATGGTTTGATTCGGGCACAATTTTGTAATCAGAATGACATATTTTGGGTTTTTGTTTGTTTGTTTGTTTACTCTTTTATGCGGTTTTTGTAGCAAGTTTGTCTACCACAATGTGTCTGTTATTTGGTTTCTTGATTGCTACTTACCATGGTTCTTACTGTGGATCAAAATACAAGGAAATCTTTATGATGAAAGGATACGACCCTGATGCACACCATTCCGGATTTTAATCATATTTAAAACAGTACTTTGTCCTGTTCCAAAGATTCTCTCTTGGTCTATGTACAGGTTCTTCGTGGGCACAGTTAAGTGTTCTGGAGTTCCCATTTTTTGCTAATTTGTGATTCTTAGAGTTAGATGTATTTGCATAAGCAACAAAACACAAGCCATCTTTCTAGTATTATTCTCTGCTTTCATATATGATCCATCTGACATCAAAAGTTATATACTAAAAAAAAAAATGAAAAAAGTTTCATCCTACGTACTATGTCCTCTTCTCAATCTGGCTTGAATTTCTGACTGTTCCCTATCAATGTACTGCTACAATCATCTGAAATTATGTTCGAAAAATTCTATTTTCTTATCCTCTCTTCATACCTTTTCAAATTATAAGCAGGAAATATCATTTGGGAAGCAGGGCTTTATGAGGAGGAGTGTGGCATCAGGAGTGGAGAAAGACTCATCAACAATGTATGTTATGTAGATGACACAACTTTGCTTGCTGAAACTTAAGAGGACCTAAAGCACTTGCTGCGAAGACTGTAGTCTTCCATATGGACTGAATCTCAGCATCAAGAAGACAGAGTCTCATCACTGGGCCAATTGGCAGCACTGTAATAAATGGAGAAGAGATTGAAGTTGTTAGCAATTACAGCTTGCTTGGCTCCACAATCAACACTCTTAATACCAGCAGTGAGTAAATCAAAAGACAAATTGCATTGGGACAATCTACTCTCATGGAACTTTCCAGA